CCTCTGGGGGGAGCCTCGCTGGAAAATCAACACCGGTTGCATAGTATACCTTTAAACAGCCTCAATACTCAGTCAAGCTGTGGGAGTTTGCAGGAGAGTTAAAATCCGTTGGGTGTTTTGATAGAGTTTTGATAGTTTGGTGAGAGTTTGCAAGGGGTTTAGAGTTTGGAGATAGTGGAGAGGATAGGTACTATGGAGCCAGCTAGAAAGAGGAGGAGTTCACCAATATGGGAGGTTCAACCTGATTTCCCCCACTAAGGTAAGATGGGTGTATTAAATCTAACCTTTTCAAGATTCAATAGATTTTTTCAACCTTTTGTTTTCATTGACTCTTAATGTATTTATAGGTGAAGTGTTTATTTTGTTCCAAGGAGTTTGTATACAATAACAACTCCTCCATGCTGAGGCACTACTGTGCCTTGCATTAAGTTATCAGAATAGTATACATACACAGCCACCATTTTTCTTTATTGTATTTTGTTTATTGAGTAAATTGATAATAACCAAAGTGGGTAATGGACACTGTATTTATTTCTTTGTAACCAGGAAGCAAGGGCTGGATGAGCTCCTAGTCCATATTGTAGTGAAGGATACACAACCCTTCAGAATTGGGGATGGGGTTGGATTCAGTGGCCAATTTGATTCCCAATTATGTTCCAACAGGTATCTATGGATGTATTCATTAAATGACAGAGTACTTTGCTCATGATTTAGCTCTATGTTTTTACTTTAGGCTCTAAAGGCCATGGTGTAAGAAAAGTTTGAGTCTGCTAAGGAGAAGGCTAAGGCTGAAGTAGGAGAGATGGCAGCTGTTGACCTCACTATTGATATGTAGATATCCATCAACATGGATGCCTACCTGGCTGTAATGTCATTTTCTGGATGACAACACCAGGCTAAATGCAGTGCTGCTGGGAATGCAGTCATTCCTCCAATCACACACTTCAGAAAATATAGCTTGTGTGAAAACATGCATGATGGAGGAGGGGCGCATATCTAACAAGGTGACTGAAGCTTCGGCATCATTTTTGCATGGCCCACACAATGATCTGGTGCTGAAGACCTCCAGCACCCTGTGCTCCTTGGCATCAGGGCCAAAGCACGGAAGCTGGTTGGCTACTTTAGAAGGAGCTCCAATGCTAAGGAATGCACTTTCCTATTATTACAGTTTATCATAAATCTAATTGTTTTATATTATTACTACAGTGACTCAATTGTATATTTATCTGTGTGTTCAAAAGGTGGAAACCAGATGGAACGGCACATACTTATTGTTGCAGTGTTTGATTAAGTTGGAGGAACCAGTTGGAACAGCATTAGCTGGTCTGCAATCTGACATTCCTATTTCAACATCTGGTGAGTTTGACATCGTTGGAGGATTCCTTTCTTTGCTGCATCCATTCTATGATGCTACCGTTGAGCTGTCTAGAGAGGAGACTGTTTCTGCTTCCAAAGTCATTCCCCTCATGAAGATGTTGGAGCAGAGCCTTCAGGAGGAGATCAAAACCAGCACCACCTGCTTCACTCGAAGTTGGAGAACACCTCATCAGGCAACTACAGGACAGGCTTCCACTGTTACAATCTGAGCTTCCCAGCTCTAGCTACCCTCTTTGATCCCAGATTCAAAGTAATTGGTCTTTTCAGCCACACTAAAGCCACCGAGGCTATGAGGAGACTGATCTCTGAATGTGCCACAATGATGCCTTCTGGACAGAGCTTTAAAACACCCCAGATTCTCATGATACCACTGGCGGTAATTTATTATTTTGTGACCAGTTATATGTTTTATACTTTTACATATTTCTCTTGCTAACCTCTGCTTTTCTCGCTTAGGTAGCAAGCTCTGGCATCGTTCAGATGCAAGCGTGATTGATTGATTGATTGAATGAAGGCCAGAAAATCATGAAATGTGACTACAGATGCCACTAATGAAGTCCAGCGCTACCTTCTGGAGACCAACATAAGTTGCACGGAAAATCGATTGGAG